TGTCCAACTTGACTGGAAGCCACGCTTCTAGAAATTCCATATAATACATATGTATTCATTGAAGAGAAAAACTGATATTTGTTTTACTTTATGTCAGGCACTGTGCCAGGCACTTCGCATATCATCCTATTTAATCTTCACATTAACCATGAGACAGGTATTTTTTTGCTTTTCCATTTTCTAGATAAGAAAGAGACTAACATGTAAACTGGTTTGTGTGAATTCATACGCTGTGTAGATTAGTAAGTGGTGAAGCTGTGATTTGAAGGCAGAGCTCAATGACTCCATGGCCCAAGGCATTCTCACTTTATCTTTGCTTGCCACCAGAAATAAAACCATACTTTGATCAACAAATGAGTATCAGAGGGGCCTCCTAGATATTTGTACATCACGTTAATGAGGGGGGACAGGGAAGAGAGAGCAATTAGCAAACTAATGAATCATCCTCTGTTGCACAAATAAGCTAATTCAATTTATTTAGGAAGAAGCAGAGGAGTGGTTCTGCATCTGTGTTCCAGCTACACAATCTTGGGCCAGTTACTTAAACTTGAAGATACATGTTTCTCACTGTGTCAGGCCTACCTTACCCATTTATTGTAAGGGGCAGATAAGATAAGGTATGTGCAATCAATATGGAAACTGTAAAGAAATATTCAAATGGAAAGCATCATTATTGATTTTTTCTAAATAACAGACATTAATAAATAAATCATGTTGCACTTCAAATGTGTTTAAAATTATACAGTAGGGAGGCAGGCTCACTCTAGGTTTTAATAAGGAAATACTTCTAATTAAGGCTTTAAGGCCTGATTTAAGCAAATAAAAATTAGGCCTTTAGAAACATTGATGCTAACAAGTAATTTTAGGTGATTTTCTGTGTGTAATGAAAATTGACCACAAAATTAATGGGTGAATTAATGCTAAGTTGAGAAGCCTGAATTTATAAGTCTTTGTTTTTATTTAAGTTACTTTAGCTTTACAAATTTTATAGAATTGTCGGATATATGGAAGTACTGGGAGAAACATCTTTTTTAAAAAAATGTATTTTTTTCTTTTAAGTTCATTCTCTACAAATTATGAAAGGATTAGAAAAAGCTTTTCATATTCAAGACTCCCTCCTATTACTGTCAATAGCAGTTAAGTGTATTTATGGAGACATGAGACAGCACAAAGATTCTTCTGTAATTCATCAGAAGTCCCATCTTAAGTATAATTACATTACACAGCTCTGCTCAGTCGTCAGTTTCTTGTTTAGCAACAATGTCCTTCATTTTAAATTCTTTGATGGTAATTATTTGTAACTATGCTCTTGAATTCTGAAAGCATGTGCACCACAGCCCTGGTGAACAATGGCTATTTCTGGACTACAACACCATTGGTTTCCCATAAGATACCATGCAGGAAATGGTCTGTAACAACACTGAAAATTTGCAATAGATTTCTGAGCTTGAATGATAGGCCAAAATGAAGTTATGTGGTTAAGTGTGTGTGTATGTGTTCAATAAAAAACTAAAAGCAAGTCATTTGGTATAAAGCATGATTTTTTTTTTAACTCTTAGTGACCAAATTACATTTGAAAGTTTTTGAAAGTTGCTTAAATTGAAGCACATTAACACATACTAGATTGTTGGACCTAAAAGTGAGATATTTTTAGTTCTACCAGTTTTCTTTTTGCAGAAAAATGTCTTATGTCTGTATTTATTCATTTACTGAGCACCCATTATGTGCCAGGAAACTGATTATGTACAGAGAACACACCTAAGAAAGCCTGTGCCTTCCAAGAGCTCACAGGCCAGTGGCTAGGGAACAGATAAGTAAACTCGAATAACTTGATTATCCTCAGGCCTGGGAGAAATAGCAGATCAAGTTCATATTAAAACCTAACTGTTCCTAACTGTTATACTCACCTACTGATTTGGTACTTCCTCAAAGCTGGGAGTTTTCAGGGATGTCTTACTACTATATTTTTACTGCTCCTCTTGGAACTTACCCTTCCCAATTCAACTGGCAACAGCTTGGACCGTGGTGTGAATATAAAGACCAAATGCCCAGTCTTGGTATCTGCAAGAGAGGGCATCCCTTCTAGGTGCCTTCTTGGGACTCTAACTCACCCTAGCATTGGGTCTTGTAGCTCTGCAACATGCCACTCCATCCTGCCATCCTTGTCCTGCCTTCCCACCTCCTTCCCCCTGGCTTTTGTTCTCTTTGTCTCTTTTGAAAGTTCTTCACATATGGGAAGTATTTTTGGTCAAAATGAAAAACCTGTAATGTGTTCTTGGCAAAATGATTTGCTAAGCAAGGCTGGCTTCAACTTGAAAGAAAAGCTTTCAGTAGGCAACAAAACAAAAAATCCCACAAACCACTCTGGCCACACTGTAATTTTTATTTACAAAAGCTAAATATACTTTACATGTGTGTATTAAATAAAGCCTCCTTTTCCAGTGCAAGAAAGTGAATATCGGAGCCATTAATTTTTTTTTTTTTATTGAGCTACACATGGTTATAGATGTCTATGTAGACATTTTTTTTCCTAAAACACTGGCTTTATGGTAGGAATCAGAATGATTTTCTTAGGCATTAACCTCCTGGCCAGGAGACACAAAGAGAAACATGTATAAAGAAAATTTGTGGAGTGCTTATTACCTGCAAGGCATGGTGCTGTGGATGTTATACACTGTTCTTTCCCTGAACCTTACCACAAACCCTAGGAGGTAGGTAGCAGGATGACCCCACCGGCATAGGAGAGGACTGAGGCCCAGGTAGGTTAGTCGTCTTGTCAAAGGGTTTTCAGCCTTCCCCTATTCTATCAGGCTCCTCCTCATTGTTGAGATGCTAATGGTATCCTAGTGTTGCCATGCTTCTCACCTCATTTATGCGTGTTTTCCTCTTTCTATGAAGCAGTAAGAACCCAAGGTCAGGTTTGGGTTGGCTATAAGTTGCTTGAAGGAATGACGATATGCAGCGCTGGTAACCCACAGCGTGCGCAATGTCACTGAAGAGCAGGTGGTGGGCAGGACTCCCACAGTGGGTGACACCTACAGCTTGGCACCCTGGCAGATCTGGATTTGAAGCCTATCTCTACTACCACCCGGCACGACTCTGGGCAAGCTGTTTCTCTTTGCTGAGCCTCAGATTTCTCCACTGGAATGTGGGGTAATGCTGCCTACCTCACAGTGCTGCAGTAAGGATGGGAGAGAACACACAGGAAGGACTTGGCAAAGAGTCGGTAACTATTCATTCTTCTTTCTCTGCCTATTCTAACCATACACAGCTACTGCACGCCTGGGCCTGCCCCGGTTTCTCAGTCAGTACAGATCAGCTTTTGCAGCTGAAGCCTGCTTGACCATGGGGCCTGACATCTTGTCTAGATCCTGCTATACCCCACTCCTCCTTTGGGGTCCCCCAATCCTCTCTCATCCCCAGCCAAAGCTCTGGCTGGTGTCTAGCCATGAATGAACTGGACTTCCTCCTGCTTCGAGGCCTGCTGGATCAGACACCCACACCCACCTGCACCCTGGGCCAGGCCTACACTCTCTTTACCCACTGGATACTGGAGAACGCTACTGCATAGCTGGCCTGGGTAATGGGGTGTGGTCATCCTACCCAGTGTGTACTATTGTTGTCCTGAGAAACTTCTAGGAGCTGAGCCCTGTAATAATAACATAGGCATGGTCCAAACAATTGAGCTAACTGCTTTATATGTATTATCTCCTTTAATCCTCATTATAATCCTATAAAGTAGATGCTATTAATATCTTCATTTAAAAATGAGAGGAAATGATAGCTGTCACACCATGTTGGTTTCTATCCCACCTGTCAACCCTTCACTTCCTCCTCCTTTTCTGACTGATGTGCTACATGCAGCAGGTGCTTTGTTGGATTGCAGCACCTCTCACCGTGTGCTGTGATCAGTTTATTTGCCTCTTTCAGTAGACAGGGAGTTTCCTGAAGGCAGGGACCATGTTTCATTTATTCCTGTACCCCGGTGCTTCGCGCAATGCCTGGCACAGAGTATAACACTCCAGAGGATGTTTGTTGACTGAATTGTATCAGCTTTTTCTTTCCTACCTGCTGAAGTCGCAGCATGTCCTCTACCCAGACACATCTGAGCTATGGCAGCTCTACAATCAACATTGGCAGTTACTCTTGGGTCTGAAATGATGAGTGTGTTTATGTGTATACGTATATGTATATCTGTGAGTGTTTGTGTGTTTGCTGTGGTATCAACTGAAACAACTATAGCTTTCCAAATACTTGTCTACATCAAAAGGTTTTAGCCATCACATTTCTTTAGTTGTCCTAAATCTGAAAATTTTCCACAGCCTTTATCTTTATGACATAGATATTTTTGAAGAATGTAGTCCATTAAAAAAATAAAATGCTCCCCATTTGGGGTTTATCTAATGTTTTCCTAAGATTAGATACAGGCTATGCATTCCCAGCCAAAGTGATACTCGTTCCTTCTCAGACTATCACATCTGGAGGAACATGAGGTCCATTTGACCATCTGAAGTTAATTTTGATCATTTAATCAAAATGTTGTCCTGTTTCTTCCCAGTATAGTTAACATTCTTTTCTCTCTTGTAACTAATAAACAATCTGTGAAGAGACATTTTAAGACCATGCATACATCCTGTTACTCATCAAAATTCCCTCCTGGATCCACTGATGATTCCTGCCTGTACCTATCTTTAAAACATGATGATTGCAACATGATGATCCTGTAATTAAATGCAATATATTTGACTCCAGACTGGATCCTGTGCAGAAGAGAAAAATGCCATAAAGGACACAGAATAAACATTAGATGTCCCACCTAAAGCAATATCAATTTTTTATTTAATGGCTGACATTGAATCAATTAACAACTTTCCCCTGGAGTGAGTGATCCCCAAGGTCTAGTCCTATATGGCCCATGACCCTATGTGAAACTTGCATCACTAGGATGGTGCCTGTATGGAAACTAAATAATGGTGGTGTTTTGAAATGGAAGACACTAGTTCTGATTGCACATGTCTCAGTTTTCTTTATTAAAAGACAATATAGAAATGATACCTAAAGGGTTTTGAATATAAGATAAAATGACAGAGGGCCCTAATGTAATGACACAGAACCTTCTGGCATCAGCACCTGTAAGACTTGTTTAGTCCCCACTCATAATCGCCGAATACTCCTTCTGGTGTTCAACCAGCTTCAGGAATACTTGATATTTCTTGTCATAATATCTGTGGGAGAAAAATGAATACACTGAATGATCTCAAGACAAAACTGTCACGTGGCTTCCCCCTTACATTTAGAAAAGTGGGAATAGATCTGCTATGACTGTGGTCCCCAAACCCCTGTTAGGGACCAGGTCATGCAGCAAGAGGTGAGAGCAGATGAAGCTTCACCTGTATTTACAGCTGTTCCCCATCACTCGCATCACTGCCTGAGCTCCGCCTCCTGTCAGACCAGGCACTGTCTCCCATCACCCCCAGATAGGACCGTCTAGTTGCAGGAAAACAAGCTTAGGGTTCCCACTGATTCTGCATTACGGTGAGTTGTAATACAGTGTAATAATAATGGAAACAAAGTGCACAATAAACGTAATGTGCTTGAATCAACCCCAAACCATCTCCTCCTTCCCTTGATCTGTGGAAAAATTGTCTTCCATGAAACCAGTCCCTGGTGCCAAAAAGGCTGGGGACCTCCGTCCTATGGTAATGCTGACATCTCCCAGTTTTTGAATACTTACAGCACCCCAAGCAGTGGATTAATGTGTTTCATACCTATTGTATATAACCTCCGTGAAGGGGTGTTATCTCTATGTTAGAAATAAGGACATTTGCTCAGAGAGACATACACAAAGTAAAATAGCTAAAAACTGGCACAGCTGGAATTCAAAGTCATGCCTGTCTGTCTTCAAAGCCTCCACTACATGTACTGAAAGGCCCATGCTTAACAGAGATCCGTTCCCATTCCCAGATGCCATAAATATCTCCTACATGACTAGCCCCAGGTTGGATGACTGATATAAAACCACAGCCTGACCAGGGATGAGACTGAACATTTTAATCACCCTTTTGTGGATTCTACATCTAGATTTCCTTTGCAGACTCCTTTAGCCAGGAGTAAAACCCTCTGGATACACGACTAATGCCTCTTCTGGAGCTGTGCCCTGCCTTCCAGGTGTCTCATAGTGGACCTTGCTCTCTCTGTCCTACTTGGCTGACTCTACAGGTGAGACCTGTTAGAACTGGTGTTGGCTATGAATCAGATAGCAGAGCAGCTGAAGCTGCTTTGGCATCATAATCCTGAAAGAAATAACAGCAGACTAGACAGATTATGTTTGTAGACTTGCAACTTTGTCCTTACTCCTCTCAGCTGGGGACGCTGACATGGCGTGAGGGGTTGATAAAGGCAGTTTAGCATGTCTTGGTAGATTCTGGGGTGCACTAAAAAGAAGCCTCATGAGAGAGGTCTGGTGTAAGCTTGTGAATTGGGGAAGAGAGGCTGTACACCTAGATATACACAGGGACTTCTACTTGTCACACAGTTATGTTATAGGAGTCCCTCTACCCACCCTGCACCAACATTTCTACCATGGGCATTCTGGGAACAAAGGAGCTATAAAGGGGCCAAACACAGTGTTAAGAGGTGGACTCTGAAGCCTGGGCTTGAACCTCAGTGTGGCCCGTTACTAACTGTGTGACCTTGGATATGTTACTTAATGTATTTGCACTGAAATGCAAATGTATTTGCTCATCTGTAAAGGAAGTTAATTATAATAGGGTCTACCTCAACAGAGCTACTGTGTGAATTAAAAGAAGGGTTACATGCAAAACACTTAGAATAGTACCTGACTCATAAGAAGTGATATAAGTGCTATATTTTTAAATAATTGATATTTTAATATTATTATCAATCTAGCTATATGTAGGTCCTCCTGAAACCCACTTTATGAGCCTTCAAATTTATTAATCATAGAATGATTTCCCCCTTCTGATACTCTATGACAATATAATGGTAAGCAATTCTTTATATGAGACAGATTTCCTGGACTTTGGAATCTTAAAACTGCTAGAAGGGAGACAGAGTTAGTAACCTTTCTCATACACTTGAAGATTTCCAATTTTAATTCTGGCAGCTTTGCAACAACTTTGTTCACTGGCCTTATTCTTTAGATAAGTGGAATCATACAGTATTTGCCTTATTTGTGATTGTCTTATTTCACTTAGCATAATAACCTCGAGATTCATCCATCCATGTGTGGCCTATGTCAGAATTTCCTTCCTTCTAAGGCTAATACTCCATTGTATGTATATATCATTTTTTATTTATATGTTCATCCACTGATGGAAATTTACGTTGCTCCTGTGGTTTGGGCTATTGTGGATAATGCTGCTGTGAATAAGGGTGTAGAAATCTCTCTCTGAGACTTCGCTTTCAGTTCTTTTCAGGTATATACCCAGAAGTAGAATTGCTGAATCACGTTAATTCTATTTTTAGTTTTTCAAAAAGCTGCCATACTGTTTTCCATAGCAGCTGTGCACGTTCCCACAAACTGTGCACAAGTTTTCCACATCCTCACCAACAGTTGTTATTTTCAGTTTGTTTGTAATAGTAGCCATGCTAATGGGTGTGAGGTGGTATCTCATTATAGTTTCGATTTTCCTAATGGTTAGCGATGTTGAGCATCCTATTGCGTGCTTATTGGCCATTTCTACATCCTCTTTGGAGAAATGCCCACTCAAATCCCTCGCTCATTTTTGAATTGGGCGGTTTGGGTTTTTGTTGTTGACTTTTAGGAGTTCTTTATACACTCTGGATATCAACCCCTTATCAGGTTTATGATTTCCAAATATTTTCTCCCATTCTGTGGGTGGCCATTTTACTCTGTTGTTAACGACTTTTATTGAATAATTTTTTTTCGACGTACTTTCAAGTGACTGTTCTAGAGTGACATATAAATTTGGACTGGGCATAATTATGAGATTCGGGGTCATCCTAAAATTTTACTTATTGAACTACAGTCCCTAGACTAGTCTTTCTTTGATTCTGACTTTTCAAATCAGCTGAACCCCCTCTCTACGCCAAATTCTTCCCAACTCAATTAGTTGCTTTTGTGTGGCACAGACCTGAGTCTATGTCTGTACAGTTAATAATGTAATTGGAGGCAATGAGATGTGAGAGTAGCTCAGAAGGAAACCGGCTCCCTCTTTCCACTTGCAGATCCTTGGGCCGCCTGCAGATGGTGCCACAGCACCGCGCCTGCCACCTTCCCAGGAGACAGCGGCCAGCAGCCAGCAAGAAGCCAAGCATGCTCTTCAAAAGGAACACGTGGGGCTTACTGAAAGAATGGGAAAACAGACCTCCCCCAAAAGTCTTGGGAGGGTCAGAGAAGAGATGGAGAAGGATAGTCTGGTACTAATTTCAAAAGAAGAGGGCCACTCCAGCTGCCCTCAGGGGAACAGAGGGATAGCAGCCCACAGCCCCACTGCCGGTGGGAACTCAGATCTCTCCATGCTCTGCACCCAGCTCCCCCCGTGCAAGGGCTTGCTCCTTTGAGCCTGGCATGAGAGAAGGGTTTTTATATCCAGAGGGTTAACAGCCTGACTCCACTGGGTGACAAAGAAGAAAATGAAAAGAAATTGGGCTTCTTCTTCTATGGACATTTCGGTTAAACAGTGATCAATCATGCTTTGGTGGTATCAGCACCTTTTCCTGTCCATTACGTGAGGTGGAATTTGTTTGTTTTTCATGTAATACTTCCCTAAAATTATAAGGCACTGCACAACTGTCCCTTCATCTTGAAACCTCACTGCCAGTGAATTAATGGAGGAGGTCCTTTTCATCTCTACCCGGCATTATTGGAAAAAGCCTTTTAACCGGTCTTTCTACTGCTATCCATTGCCCCCTCTCATCCATCCTCTAAGGGGGATCTTTCTAATCTACATGTGACCACGTCTCACCACTGCTTAAAATTCGGTGTCCCTGTTCCCCCCGTAGGATGAGGTTTGAGGTCTTTAGCGTGGCCTCCAAGCTCTGTAGGAGCCGGCCGTCTGCTTCCCAATTCTGCCCTTCCCCAGCCCCACTTCCTGCCATCTCATACTTTGTTTCAGAATTATGAATTGTTTATTGTTAAACCTGCACATACCATGTCATTCTCACTTTTATAATATGCATATGTTATTCCCTCTACCAAAAATGTTATTCCCTGCCTTGGCCCGTCTAGCAATTTTTTTTAAGCATTTAAAGTCAGCTTAGCTGTAACATCCTCTCATTCCCTCACCCCTGCACTGTCATATCCCTTTCTTCCTTGGGTTACTATGTCACCTAGTGATACTTCTATTGTAGAGCATATCCCTTTGTTCTGAAAGGATCTATGTGCACAAATCAAATTGTGTCTTCTTTCCCTCTAAATCCTGCCTGGTGCCCAGCTCAATGCCTTGAACATAGCAGGAGCTCAATACATTAATATTTTGCTGAATTGGGGTTAAGACATTAATCAAGGTCATTTTGTAGCCCTCAATGCTAAGTGATACAAGATGTAAAAAAATGGACAGATGCTACTGGGTCCTTGGATGAAAATATAAGAGAACCATGATTTAGAATAGAGAAGACCAGATTTGCTGCCAATGACCTAGGCAAAAAAACATTGGCCTGATAGTTGAGAAGCTTGTATTTGACCCCCAGGTCTGGTCCTGTGTAACTCTGCAATCTTAGCTAAGTGAAAGTGGCTTTAACTCTCCGGGACTTAGTTTTCTCAACTATTAAATGAAAGGACTAGGTTAGCTGACCTCCAAAGTTTAGTGTAGACCTACAGTTGCATGCATTTATATTTATATCTTTCAGATTTTTAGCACCGTGCATATAAAAAAATAAACTTACTTTTTATCCTCTCGTCTTGGGAACACAACTTTCCCCACTTTGCTCATTTTTGCCATTGCCTCCTGTTAAGTGGAAAACAACACAGACAGCTGAGTTGGAAAGCTAAATCCAAAGTGAAGCTTGTCACAGGCAAGAACATTCTTATTAGTATGCTCTTCTCTTTTAAGATACTTGGTTAGTCCCTATTTTTTTCCAACTTATTTTTCTCTGGTAGCAAGAATAAAATCCAATGAACATTTAAAGTTACATCTATGACCACACATCCTGAGCTTAATAAACAGTTGTATATTGAGGCCTCGAGGGCATAAACAACCCAGACGACAAAGCACTTCTGTGATTGCCTCCAGGGACTGTGGGAGGAATTATTTCCCCTCCTCACCACCTGGACACGGGGGCATAAGAAGGCATCATAATCAGCCCCTGACTACACTGTCTACTTAATCAACACAACAATAACTGGATGGAACCCACTTTGCACCAGTACTTTAGGATAAAATATTTATTAATAAGACCACTTTAATTCGACTACAGCTCTTTTTCCCAGCAGTGTCTGAAGTTGTGAGTGCAGACGTGAGACCTCTGGGCTGAGTCTTATTGACCCGGTTCTGGAATGTAACTTCAAGACATTCTTGTCTTTACAATGGGGCACTCAGGCGGATGACATGTTACAGCACCTGGGAGGACGTGGTATGGTGTACACAGCATCAAGATCAACCATAGACGGCGTTGGCTCCATTACAGGAGTGGAAGGGTTAGGTTTCCTTGGGCAGTCTCCCAAGGCTGTTGAGGCCATGAGAAAGTTAGTGCGAATGGAGTGAACCCACACTTTAGAGTCCAACAGACCTGACTAGGGAAGACTGCAAAGCAATAGCACACAAAGCTCCCCCAATAGGCCCAGTCTTAGGAACAGCTACTGAATTTTAATTGTTAAGGTTGTCATCATTCTGGGATCACATATGTACAACTCCTTATTCCACACATTTATTAACCACTCACTATGTGCCACACACTGTTCTATAGATAGAGATTTGCATATGACAAACTCTTTGTGCTAGATAAACTCATATACTACCAGGGGAGGAAAACATGTAAAAAGCTGACTAACGCACAGAATGTAAGAACCCCTGTGTATCTTTAAAGCATATCCAAGTGTCCCCCTGACCAGCTTTGCCACCTTACTGTGGCTGACTCATTGGGCGATTGATTTTCATACTGCTAATTACCGCCGGACATTCTATGTATTTGCTGGTTTATGGGTTCATTACCTGCCCTCTCTACTCCTTGCCCTAACCAGGATACAACCTACACAGGGAAGGGGCTTCATTTATTTACTGCTGAATTTCAACACCTAGAATATTCATAAAACATATTGAGCCCTTTGATGTGCCACGCATAGCACTCCACATATATGTGATTGAGGGAGGAAGCCTGCACGGGCCTTTCATGAAGGAGCTCACCATATACTAGAAAAGACATTTACCATGATCAAAATAGAGTGTGATACATACTATGCTAGAAGCAGACAAACTTCTTTTCAATAGTTATTCAAGGCTTAGGAAACCTGATAGCTTTTTCCTCTGCTCACTGACACACATTTCCACTCCTGCTAGTTGTTCTACCGCCTCTTTCATGAGGAGAGCGTGGACATTCTGAACTAGCTACCTCGTTTCCTAGCCCTCAGCAGAGTTGGAAGTGCTGACTGGGAGGTCAGAGCTGCTAAAGTAGTGAGCACACTGACAGCAGGAAGAAATGGCAGCCGTAAGGAGGGAGGAGATTTTTTTTTAAATTATGAAAAATTATTGACAAACCCTGGGGAAAGACAAAAACTAAAAGGGCTGTCTGGAGCTGTTTTGTGAAGGGCCAAACAGTCAAACGCATGGTAGTGGGGCCGCTGCCGTGCCGTGGAACAGGGCTGTTCTAAGAGCTCTGCTCACCCTGACCTGTCGGAACATCTTCCTCCTTTAGGGCAAGCTCCACGTCCGGCTGAGATCAACTTGGCCACTCCTCCTTGTTTTGTCCTTGCCTCTTCCTCACGCTGGGCTCTGCTGTACTTCCAGGGGGGCACCCTGCCTCCTGCCACCAATGCTGAACCTCGAACATGCCCTTGGGAACGGCTCTTCCTGGTTGCACGCAGGCCCCAGACGTGAGACAGCATTCCAGGATTGCCATCGTGGGTGGGATCCAGGAAACTTGGATTTTAGAAGGTACTCCATAAATGTCATTTTCCCGTCCACTGTCACAGATGTGTGCACAAATGCACACATCGGGGAATTCTTTCTTCCTTTCTTCCCATTACCTTTGCTTGTTTTAAAAATAAATTATTGAAGCACTCTGGGAGGCTGAGGCAGGAGGATTGCTCGAGGTCAGGAGTTCGAAACCAGCCTGAGCAAGAGCGAGACCCCATCTCTACTATAAATAGAAATAAATTAATTGGCCAACTAATATATAGAGAAAAAATTAGCCGGGCATGGTGGCACATGCCTGTAGTCCCAGCTACTTGGGAGGCTGAGGCAGCAGGATTGCTTGAGCCCAGGAGTTTGAGGTTGCTGTGAACTAGGCTGACGCCACAGCACTGACTCTAGCCTGGGCAACAAAGTGAGACTCTGTCTCAAAATAAATAAATTAATTAATAAATTATTGAGAAGGAAACGCTCACCATAGAGAGATTTCAAAGGGTTAAAAAAAAGGTTGTTTCTCAAAAAGTACAGATTTAAATGTTAATCTTAGCTCAGGTATCATCAGCTCTACTGAGAAGATCTTTTTCTGACTCATGCCTGCTGCCTGCCTCCCACCTCGACCGAGGTACTTGCTCTCCCAGCAACGTGTGCTCCTGTCTATCGTGGCATTTATGACATGGCGCCATCATTTCTTATTAACAGATCAGCCTCCCCAACTAGACTGTGAGCTCCTTAAGGCAGGAATTGTTATAATCATTTTTACTGCCAAACTCAGCATCTGGCATACCGTATGCACTCAGGGAATGTCTACTGAATGAATGAACTTAAGGGTAATACACGTGACAGAATGTTCAAATGGAAGTTTTGGCTGAGATCTAAGGATGACAGATATAAGATACCAGAGCTGGCTGGAAACAGACCACCCTGCAGAATCTGTACAAAGGGTGCCCGAGGACCCATTAATCAACTCTGAAACCCTTCACCCACACGGAAGGTCAGACAGAGATGGATTTTTAGGAAAGAGCTGTTGGTCTATTGCACGTCAGGCTTCTTTCCAGGGTGAGGTGTGAGGCGAGCCTCTCCCTTCGTGAGTCAAGAGAACAGGGCTTCATTGCGACCAGGAGGGCTTGATGCGTGTCCTGAGACTGTGGCACACAGCGGGTCGTGTGTGTCTCTGGCCTGGAGGAGACGAGCTGGCTGGCAGCTCCAGTGCAGACGTGAAGGAGAGGCTGCCCTGGGATCAGCCAGCACTGCCACTCTGTCAGGCTCCCAAAGGCATGACTGCTTCCCACAGACCGCCGAGGCCCGCGTGTGAGAAGGCGTGTGGGGCTGTCTTCCACCCTGTCCAGCGTGGCTGCCTCGCCAGGCAGAGCGAGTCTGAGTAAAGAAGCTGGAGGTGGGCTGCTGGGTTTCTAAGAATTAAGAGAAGAGTCAGGAATCTACTAGAATAGAGAGGCATTAACCAAGACCAGGATGTTTCAGGGAGAGGGTTTCAGAGGTGGAGGCGCTCCCAAAAAAAAATCTGTGATGGAGACTTATGAGAAACAGAGGTCGCTGTGGACACCACTAGGCTAGGAGAGCATGAAGCCTACATACGACAGTGCTGATCAGACAAGACCTTTCCTACACCCCTAACGTCTCTTCCCTTGTTCCCACTAACTACCTCAGTGGAGCAAGAAAAAAGCTGATGCATGTTGGAGAGGAAGTGAATGAAGAAGAAAGAAGAATGTGATTACAGCTGTGTCTTCTCATTTGTGGCAGACTCCAGGTAGAGAACCCGGGAGACGTTTTACCTTTACCTTTATATATTCCTCGATATTTGGATTTCCGAATTTTGGCTACGTTTCACAACTTAAACGGACCATAAAACTGGTTATCATTTAAGTGACTTTGTGCTTATCTAAAAAAAGTAATGGAATCACCAGAATTTTAAACCAGGGCAGTGAAAAAACTAGCTCCACTGCAAAAATGTAAAGGGGCAGTGGGAATAAAAAACAAAGTTGATTTTTGATTCTACCTCAAGAATTGTCTTTGTGCTACACAACTTTTGTTCACTTTACACAGCTTATTAGACACAAGTTACATATGTGTAATAAAGATCTGATGAATATATATTAAAACATTAACAGGTTGGATAGCATGGGCGATCATTTTGTTTTCTTGTCAACTTGTTTTTTGTATTTTCTAAATTATCTATAGTAGCATATATTGATTTGATAATTGTAAAGAAAATACAAATATACTACATTTTATATTACACACACACACACACACACACAGACACACACGAAGTTATGCTTACACACACAGTTAAAATTACTTGGGCTCACTTTCCATTCTCCTGGAAGGCAGGGCTCCTTAAGAGTTCTTGGCACCATCCAGAGAATACCCAGAGAATCGGTGCTGTCATCAGAAAGAGCACTGCTGAGTTTTCCAATTTCTCCAAATAATTAACATAAAACTGAAATCTCATGATCCCACTGGCTGCAGTAAATCTGGAAATTACCACAGCATAACAATATGAATTTATTATGGAGATGCTGACACATGCTAAATATAGTCACCCCCACAATATATTTCTGTTCCAAAGGGTTTATTTGAAGTTGGCCTCCAAATTCCCACTTTTTGTCAGCAGGCAGGAGCCGGACAATCTTAATTTGCAGCACGCTACCCTCTTTGTTTGAGAGTCTAGACAGCACAATGAATACAGTGACTTTTCTTTTTCCTTTTTGCCCACACAATGAAAGCTTTTTAAAAACAAAATATTTTGCAAAATAGCATTTTAATCACTTCTTTTCTTTCTGTCTATAAGGCAGAGCTATAAATAAACCATGAAAGTTCACATTTGATTATCACTTCTGAAAGCGAGTGAAGGGTTTCTGTAG